GGCAGACGGCTTCTTGTTGCCCCCTGGCACTTCTGAGGGCACTTATCTGGTCAACAGATCTAAGTGGAGCAGATAGTCTTTGAGAGTCTCTTCGCAGTTCACAGTGGACCCGTCCACCAAGCCCCTTGCTCACCACTCCCTGCACTGCAGTGTCACAAGGGAGGCTCCTGGTGGCCCTGCATCTGCTGTGGGATGCCTCCACCCACTCAGCTCTACGTGAATGGCCCATAGGCAGCCCGAACCCCAGGCCAGACCACAGCATCTTTCCCATGGATTTAGGAATTGGGCCACAAGACTCTGTCTCCAGAGGCTGGACCTGTAACATATACATTTAGTGTCTTAGGGTGGGACATCTTCTACCGGAGCGATCCAGACTGCAGAGACACAGACTCCAGACAGAGCCCACACACAATGTGGATCATAGATAAGAGGACGAGAGGGTCCAGGGTCTCTTTAGTCCCATCCCAGATTCCAAGCCCTCCTTCTTTAGGTTCTCAGCCTCACCCCTGCATCCTATAATAAAGTCTCCTATAAGCAAGCCTGCTTCAGAACAACTCTATTACTTGTCAATGGAGGCGTCTTAATGCTGAACCAGGCCTTCCCATATTCAACAAATATTCATGAAGAGCCCACATGGGTTAGGAGATGTGCTTGACACTGGGGGAATGAAAAAAAAAAAGTATGTCATTATTACTAATCTCAAGGAGGGCTCATAAATCTGGGATGTAAACAGATCATTCTAAACCAATGTATTAGTCTCAATGTTTGTCTTCCCCTAAAATGTGTATGCTGAAATCCTAGCCCCCAGGGTGATGGTATTTGGAGGTGGGGCCTTTGGAAGGGGTGAGGTCATGGGGTGGTTCCTCATGCATGGGATTAGGACACTTAGAAGGGGCTGAAAGACCAGAATTCATTCCTTCCACCAGGACACAGCAGGAAGGCACCATCTATGAACCACACAGAGGGCCCTCCCCAGACGCTGAATCTGCCAGTGCCTCGGGTGTGCTAAAGGCAGCCCCTGGCTTCAAGACTCTTGCATCTTAGAGGGAAACCACATGGAACACTTAATAAAAGTTCAAGACAACCGAACAAGAGACTTCCAAACAATTATTGCTAAATGAGTGGTCCCTGAAATGTCTCAGAAGCTCAGAGTCAGGAAAATGAACTTTGAGCTTGGCAGTTAACAAATTTTCAGAGCAGGCAGAGCTGAGTTAGGCCTCCAAGCATAGAGTAGGTTCAAATAGAGACAGTGCCCAGCCACACTCTTGCAAATGATGATCTTGAAAATATTAAATATCCACAGAGTTCCATGCTTCTAAAAGTGCTTTCACAGCCAACTCATGTGATGCCCACAAGCATGCTGAGGAGGAAGGGATGTAACAGAATTGCTGTTTGATGATGGGGAAACCAAGACACAGACTAAGTGATTGGTTTGGTTCGCGAAACTAGTGAGTGGGGCAGATGCTCATGCCCCCTCCCTGATCCAAGGCTCTTCCTGTCACCTCTTCCATTAATAAAGGGAAGGGGACACAGAATCACACATCTCAGAGCAGTTCTATCCTTCCTCTGGAGCTTTTGGACAGACTCAGTCTAACTTCTCCCTGGTGTGGCAGCACAGGAGTTGAGAGTTTCTCCTAAAGACGTCTGGAACAAACCATGTATCTGTTAAATATGTCCTCCCTGCATGCTTGTACACTCCAAGAGGGCAGATACCATGTCTTGTTCCGCAATTAAGCTCAGCATCTGGCCCAGAATTAAGAGTGTATTCACATATATTTCGTGATTGAATGAAAACAAATAAAAGGACAAGTGAACCAAACAGATTGGTCAGAGGAGGGAGAAATGGGAGGTGGGATCGCAGGGCCACTGTGGTGTAGCGTGCAGCCACCTGATGTTTAGCAGTGAATCTTCCAAAGCTTCTCCTCTTTGCTGCCCCTCTCCCAAATCTTCTTAGTATTATGTCCAGAGGGCAGGCAGAAGCAGGGAAAAGAGATGCTAAAATTTCCAGCAAGTACCAGGTTGCTACTTATTAAGACTCTAGGAAAGGGTGATAGAGACCAGGAAGTGACTCTGTGATAAAGCCAGTGCTTAGCATGAGCTCTGGCAGTCCCCAGTGCCTGCCGTGTAAGTTCTGGTAAACTGCAAAGGAAAACGTCAGTATTAGGTGTGAGTTGGAGGTGTGAACCTTAAGCGCTTGCAACGATATTCAATTTGGAGTTGTGCTTAGTCAGGATGAGCTTCTAGGATTCTCGTGTGTCCTCTGATGACACTGACTCCCTTTGTCATTGTCCCGGAGTAAAATCAGTCCCTGGGCGGGGGCTCCCCTTATGGGGAGTTATCACCTCATCTAGCAACTGTCTACTCACTTTTTAACGTCCCCAAGGCAAGGCTGACAGAGGGACCAAAGTGGAAAAGGCGACTGGTCAGGAAAGCTGTGAAAGGTCAGCACCCCCGCCATGGTCCCCCAGAAATCACTACTGCCCTCTGTTCTCCTTTCCACCATCCCTCACCCCTCCCTCCTACTCAAACCGGCGCCAGCTCTGGAGGAACACCAGCTGATCTAGGAGCCACAGCTTGTGCCAAGAGCCACAGGCAGTTTCATTTAGCACACAGTCTCAAGGAGAAATGGCTCTTTGTTTCCACCAACAGAGGGAATGCCATCAACTCCTGCTCCCCAAATTCCCACACTCCTTTCCCTCTCTGTCAAGGGCAGAGAAAAGCATCTTCTGGCCCTTCTAGACCCAAAACACCCAGCTAAAGACAAAAGCTGCTGACCCTATGTGACCCGGGCAGATTCACTGTCCACACCCCACACCCCTCACCAGGCTCCCCAAAGGCTGCCTTGGCTGGAGAACTTGGTATGTCACTCTGCTGCTTATGTCACAGAAAAGGAGCAGGTGCTGTCACTTGGGCCACGTGAGCCAGCGACTCATTTTAGGATCTGGTCCCGGACATCTAAGCTCTTTGCTTACCCTCCTCATCCCCACTGGCTTCCCTCCGGGTTCTTCATTTTCAGAGGGAAAACATCATAACCTTGAGTCACCATGGGGAGGTGATGACCACATGACAGGGAACTTACGCAATTCAAGAGAGGGCAAGTGCCTGTCATACCCAGAGCTACAGTGGAAGAAGGTCCTCGGAGCTCCTTCAACGCATCATATGATTTCAGTGTTGCCCCATAATTTTGAGGCGAACTTTCCATTAACAAAGAAAGTGCTTCATTCTCATGAACCCTGACCTTATTTCCTGAAACAGCCTTGCACACAAGCCTGTGTACACACAATCCTCTACACAATTGTACCTCTACGCAATCCATCCATTCGATTTGTCAGCAGACCAAAGCCACACCCCCAACACACACACACTCTCCAACCTTCCTTGGCCTTCCTTTCTCCTGGCCAAGAGGACTGAGATGTTTTCTCATTCGTGTTTAAGACAAATCTCTAGAAGGGAAAGAGCAGAAACTACATGTGATCATGTTAAATTCCAGCTTTCCAAGGGCAAGGAAGAATCCCACATTTTAGCCACAATAGTTTGTGACAGGAACCGTAGGTTGAAGGAAAACTTCTGCAGTATCCTGACAAAATGTTTTGAAGAAAAGGCGTATGAATGTATTTTTATCAGGAACTGCGCTCCTTACCCAAGACAGCAGGCACAAACATTTTCAAAACACTTAGCTCTCAGCGAAGTGAAATTCTGCTATGAAAGCGAAACTGGATGCTCATCCTCTCCACCACTTTCTCATGGTGGGCCTGAAAAACATCATTCCTCCAACCAGTGTTTTAATAAGGAAAAACTCTCAGACTGACTAACTTCCAGAAAATATCGCCGCCCCACACCCTAGAGCCAGAAAGGTTTTACCAAACTGGGTTTGACAGAATATACTTGCAGAATATTTATTTTTAGATCCCTTCACAGTAGAGTAAGTCTTCCATTTCAGATCAGCTGGCCTCCAGCCAAAACAGCGAACTCAGAGGAACTTCAGCCCCTAAGCCTTCCTGCTCCCTAAGAGTACCAGCGCTCCTGCCTGGCTCTGGCATAAATGGTTGGCGATAAGTCATTTTTTATTAAAGTTTTAACTCTAGGCAGCAATTTTGCTTTAAAAGGTTTTTCTTTGGAGTGCATTTTTATTTTAAAAAATTAAATACTCTTAGATATGTTAGTATTCAGAAGCAGCAGATTTCAACAACTCACACTTTCTCTGAACTTTTTTTCAACAGATATTTCACATACTAGGGAGGGCCTGAATTCTCAGAATTGTACCTCTATAACTTCATAGCTGCCCTCCTCTTTCAGGGGGTGGGTGGAAAATCCAACTCACCACTCAGGCTCTTGCAGGTCTGAAGGCTGAAGCCGTGTGAAACACAGGGTCCCCTTTCACTCACTACTCCCAAAGCCGGGAACTAGCCAGTGAAGAGCGGCCATGCCATTTACGCGGCACAAGCTGGCCTGGGGTGATGAGCTGTTCACCTTCACTGGTCATTTCTCTCACTTCTTTAGTGTGTGGCACAGTGCTCCCTAACATCCCACATTTAACGCCCCATCAAGTAAAACAGGAGTGCAGCAAAATATCCAACAAGTACTTGCTCCTAGGAGCAATTCAAACACGTTTTGTTCAATAATGGTTTCATTCCAACTGGCCCAAAGAGAAAAAAGAGTAAGGAATTTTTTAAAGCCTGCTTAGCAAGATGAAGCCTCAGAAGGCAGTTGGCTTATATTTAAACACGTACTGCATCAACAAAAGCCAAATCTGAGGTGTCAACAAAAGGAAGTCACTCTTATTCTAGAAATAGACCTTAAAAGTAACTAGCTTGGTGCCAATTAGAGGCAGGGCAAGCTTACTTACGCACTGCTGGTTAACACACCCACTCGCCCTGACTAAACCACTTTAAAATCGGGGAGCTATTTTCTAACAACCCTTTTGAAATGCTATTCAGAGATGAACTTTACATTTCTATGTCACTGCAAGATGCTGCTCCCCAACACAGCAACACCAGGCATTTCAATTAAATAATTTTATTGGGGGGAAAAAAAAACCACTGTGAGCACCAGAGCAAGAAAAGTGTATTATTCAATCAGTTTCCCAGATCACATGCCAAGAACACAACGCTCAGGGTGGGCCTGGCAGACGGTCCACAACCAGCAGGTGCGTTCAGCTTGAATGGACCGGGGTTCCACAGTGTTTGTGCCACAAGTCAATGGCCTTGCTCACGATCGCGTCTGAGCTGTCCTGGGGAATCTGTGGACAAGCAAACCAGTCTTTGTGAAATTGTAGTGTTGACAACTTCAGTGTCTTCCCGCATTCGCTGTGGCATAAAATTCACTACCATGGGAGTTTTCACTGTTTTTCAGAAAGTGACAGCATAAAAGGCTGTATCACATGCTACCTGAGGACACGAAAGGGCTCCAATGTCAGCCCACCTGGGTTCAAATCCTGCACTGCTCACTAACTGTGCATCCCCAGGCGGGTTACCTAAGCTACCTGGGTTTCAAATCCCCATCTCTAAAATGGGGGAAATGATAGCCCGACTTCGCAGAGCTGTTCACACTATGACATGAGATAACCCATGGAAAACACTTAGCACAGGCCTGGCACTGTTAGCCACTTCTGGTTATAATGATGATTATTCGTTTATTCAACACATATTGACTCAGTACTTTATTATAATTTACCAGGCCATTATTCAAATGTTCATACTATTTTAAAAATGAATAGATTTGTGATTCTGTGAAAATCATTCAGGCACAAGTCTCTTTAATCCTATTTCTTGCCTGGTAAAGGGTATTCCAAGATACATAGGGAGGGAAAAGTTAATTTCATTACCATTGCCTTTTTCAGCAATATGCCAGGTTAATACTGTATATTAATAAACCCAACTGGGATTACACCAGAGACAGTAACAGAAATGAAATGGCTTACAAAATCCTCCAAAATACAGAATCCCTTTTGAACTGACAAAAATTACTCATTGTAAAATGACAGATCTCACCTTTTCCTTTTCCTGACATGACTGATGATAGTCACATGGAGGATGAGACTCTGGTTCTAAGTGGACACATTCACAAGATGGTCTCAGACCATCATCTCCCAAAGACAGGATGCAAACTAATCCTCAGGCCAACTTTAGGCCAAACTTTTTCAGGGAAAAATGTTTCTTATAATGTAAAAATATACTGTATGATTTCTCTGGAATAATCTAATGTAACAGGAAAATCTGACTTGCTAAGGTGACTTCATTTCTAGATTCAAAATCAAATCAAATTATTATTTCTCTTAAATAATTTCTCTAAAATAATCATTATTATAATTATTCTCTGAAACAGTCTAAGGTATTATTTCTCTGAAATAATCTAATTATTATTTCTCTGAAATAATCTAATGTAGTAGGAAAATCTGACTTGCTAAGATAACTTCATTTCCAGATTCAAAATCAAATCAAAGCACACTTACATTTTCCAGAAACTTTGTTATCTTCTCTGCACTGTTCAGTGCCATAACTTTTATTTTAAAGGTTAATAAAATTTCGACAGCTACAAAAACTAGGATCTTACAGGATCCACTCACAACTTTATCCCAAACCCTACAAAAATAAGGAGATATAATCAAATTACATGAGTTTGAGAATATGCTTAGCCTAGACATCTCAAATTACAAAATAAAATCAAATTGCTCCAATTTTAAGTAAAAGTTTCAAAGAATAACTTTTATGAAATAATCATCAAAACAAGAACAAAATACAGAAGCCATTTGAAATCTATTCTAGATACAATCAGCACTAGAAGGAAAAAGGGAAGTTCACTAAAAATTACTGCTCCACTAGGTATCCACCAAAATCATACTCCCTCATGTTGTGAACCTGACATTTTTGAGGAAGAAAAACAAAATCCTAAACTAATGGTATATATTCTGCTAATATTCCGTAATGCTATAATTATAGCCTACTAAGGGACAACAAAAGATGTACATGAAATGAGATAAATTCAGTTTCATTGCCAGTGATTCTGGGGACAGACTCCTTAAACTTCTCTAAGGGCTTAAGGAGCCAGTTACTGATCTATAACCACTCTAAAATAATAATTCTGATCATTCCCATAACTCCTAAAAGTTGGTATTCTACTTGATATACTTAGTTACATATTACCTTATAATGTTCTCTGTGTACTGCACTATTCAGTGCCATAACTTATTTTAAGAGTTACTGTTCTACTACAACACAAAGTCTTAATGGGTGGCACCTGGACTCCGAAATACCCAGACATGTCTGAAACTGACTGGAAGAACTTGGTTTGAGTCTCAAATCTTTGACTGCCTTCAGCTTCTTTAAAGATACCATGATGAAACTAATACTCAGATTTCTGCTAGAGGAGGATTTGTCACATTTCTGGAAAAGAGGAGCTGACGCTTATATAAACTGGTGGAGACCATTTTAGGTGTGACTATTTCACGGCATCTAACGCACTGAGGGCCCTCAATTTTTCTAACTATATATTCAAGAATAAGCATAATCATGTGCTGTTATGGTAGCTGCTGGAGGACTGAGCTTCAAATTACTGTATCGTTCTAAAGCAAATTTATACTCTGAGGGATGACCGCATGAAAGGCCAGAACTCTGCTCTAATGCCAAGCCTTCAATATGTCTTTGAAAGACATACTTGCCTCTGTAAACTGGATTCGGGCAAACATCCCGCAAAGCACCTCTTGAACCAGAGATCATAAGGAAGTTTGGGCGCCGCGCAACACATCTTCAGATGAGTCAGCAGTCTGCCATCTTCCAGATTCAAGTATTGTTCAAACGCTTTTGGCTAAAGATTAAGCAAGAACAGAGATGATTCATTTCCTGTGTCATAGCATCATCTGATATTATAGTCTCTGATGGAAAAAAAAATTACATGCTGAATTCAAGGAAGTATTAGAAAACAAAACTTCAGAATTATCCAAGTCACTTGTGACACAGCAGTTTCCTAGGTCAGCCCTAACTAAAGTAACAAACCATGCAAGACTGAGGAGTTTCCCAGGACACAGGGCTCTTTCAGTGCTAAAACAGGGGCGGTCCCAGGCAAAATGGAATGGTTGGTCACCCTAATACTAACCTCACTAGCCAGATTCAACAACCTAAGGCAAAAGTCCAAAGCAAAATCCAATTGTTCTGAGGAGCTAAGGAAGGCCCATTATATTACTGGCTGGTCTAACGAGCAGCAGATTATATACTAAGGAAAAAAGGGGGAAAGAGGAAAGGTGAAACCAAAGAAATAGAGTGGGATTGGAGTGGGGAGAGGGCACTAGGAAAAATAAGACAAAAAGTGATGCTGATGAGAAGGGGCTGACCAGTCACCAACCATCCATACACTGCCCTGGATTGAGCACCACTGTGCACCAGTGCCAAGCAGGCTCCCACAACAGGGATGTCCAGAGGGTGAACTCTGTATTCAACACAAATGTGACTAAGATTTCTTAGAATTCAAGGGATAACTCAGAGGGAACAAAGCACCTGGATTCCACTTGGTAGCCTCTGTCTCATGAGGCCAGGTGGCAGCCAACACTAGAGGACTGGAGAGCTAATAAAGCCAGCTCCCCAAACCTGACCAAATCCATCTTGCATTGGCTGCTATATTTAGGTTGGCTGCTATATTTAGGGTCCACTGGCTGAGAAGGGGTCTAAGAGTCAAACCCTAAAGTCCACACTCACTATCTGCAGGAGTACAACCAGAGCCCGCATCACTTAAGCAAATGTAAACGTTTATTTTACTCAATATCTATAACTCTCTGCTTCTGTCAAAGAGGAAATTCATCACCTTTACAAGGTCCACTATAGTCAGAGACTGCATTTCATACAATGAATAAAGTGAAAGGTAAGAGAAAATCCCTGCCTTCAAGGAGCTTACAGCTTGAGACATACAAGTAAAGAGGTAACTACAATACACTGTAATACTGTGATGCTATGATGGGAACAAGCACAAGATGTTGGGTACATCCAGGAGAAAATCCTAACCTGGGCTGTAGGAAGCAGAAGCAGTTTCTCAGGAGAGGTGACATTTGAGCTGACCTCTGAAGAACGGACAGGAGTTAGCCAGGCAAAGAGAGGCCCATATCATAATATCTGGTCCAGCTTTCCCCTTTCTTTTTCAGGATATCTCTTTTTCCTGTTTATCCAACCTCCCTATACTACCCAACAGTTCCTAGAGTTTCTCAATAACACTGCAGACAACTTCCCAAACAAGGAATTGTGGTTGGTTTTGCAAAGTGACTCGGTTGAAAACACACACACAGAGTTATATATTATGTCTCAGAGGAAAGAAAATTTCATCCAAAAGTCAGTACAAATAATAGACAAGATGGAGATGTGTGAACATTTTAAAACTATGTATTGCCTTTTTCCTTTATCAGACAATAAGCTCACAGGGGGAAGGTACTGTATCTGTTTTGTTCACTGCTGGTTCTTCAGTACCTAGCACATCACTTGGCATGGTAAGCACTCAATATATAACTGTTGAGTGAGCAAATCAATACCGTGAATTAATATAAAGTTGTGAATACATCAATCGACATCTTAACAATTGCTCAATGTACATCTTTTTGCCAATATCTAATTAATTTTTTAAACTTTTTCCTGGTTTATTATAGCCTATTATAAGAAATCTTGAAACTATATGAAAGAATAAAGAGCATATAGACATCAAGTATAATCACACTCCCAATGATAACTACTGGTAATACTTAGGTTATAGTGCATCTATCCTGCATACATACAGACACACTTCTCTTTCTTTTATTAGTTGAACTCACACTGAATACATGATTTAGTATTTTTCTGTTTGCACTCAACAAATTGTGGACATTTTCCCAGGTTAATGAATAATCTTAAAGGGTTAATATCCCTACCAAAAGAGAGCTTTTTAAAGTGGAGAAGGAAAAAAGTCAAGAACTCTATAGGAAAAAAAAAATGCACCTGCCTCTTACCCATATAAAAACATGCTCAACCTACTTACAACAGAATAAACGCAATATAAAATTCCACTGAAGTATCACTTCCTACCTATCAGAATGGCAAAAATTCAACACTAATGACATACCATGTTGGCAAGGCTGTAGGGAAACAATCTACTGGTTTTGAGGATGCAAAAGACCATGAGCTCTATGAAGGGGAATTTGGCAATATTTAGCAAAGCAATATATGCATTTACCCTTTGATCCAGCCAATCTATTTTTAGGGAATCCAACTCAATACACTAGCAAGCACATGAGAAGCTGCATGCACAAGTCTATTTACCAGTAACACTGTGTATAACAGCAAAAGACTGAAAACATCCCAAACAGCCAACAATAAAAGACGGGTTGAATAAACTACATTCACAATAGAACAGTATGAATATACTAACCTGAGAATATTGTGTAGGCTGGGCGTGGTGGCTCATACCTGTAATCCTAGCACTTTGGGAGGCTGAGGTGGGTGGATCACTTGAGGTCAGGAGTTCGAGACCAGCCTGGCCAACATGGTAAAACCCCGTCTCTACTAAAAATACAAAAATTAGCTGGCCGTGGTGGCATGTGCCAGTGATTCCAGCTACTTGGGAGGCTGAGGCAGGAGAATCACTTGAACCTGGGAGGCAGAGGTTGCAGTGAGCCGAGATTACACCACTGCACTTCAGCCTAGGTGACAGAGTGAGACTCCGTCTCAAAAAAAAAAAAAAAAAGAATATTGTGTAAGAATGTACACAGGACAGTAGTATGAAATCATGACAGGAATGAGGAGTATCTCTGTCTACTAATATAGCATGATCTCCAGCATATAGCAGGTAAAAAGAACAAGATGGGAAGAATGTGTACTGTATGCTACTGCTTCATCTAAGAAAGAAGGTGAATTCAAATACATATGTGTATATATGTTTTTTAATGGAAGGAGCTAATATTTATATTGCCTGACCTTTTTCATACTTAGCAAATGATAGATACCATAGATGTGATTTATAATAGATAGATGTAATTTATTATAACCATAATTATGTTTTACTTCTAAACATTTAGGTTATTTTCAGTATTTCTATGACCCCCATATTCTTACTTTATGAAGACAATAAATACACATCATCAACAGAAGGAAAAACGTGACAAAAATAGGTACTTAATCACTCTGAGAGGAATTTATATCAAACTTAGGAAGAAGTTGTTAATAGTGAATATAAAAAAAACCTCTTTAGCAGAGCTTTAAAAAACTGTGTCTATAGCAATAAAACAAAGATCACTTACGTTAATGATTAACACAATTAAGTTTGAGATGGTTTAATAGGAACCTTCCATGCCACACAATTGAAGTTGGCCTCTATTCTCCTTGACAAAGAGAGACCTTGTCAAAAAAAGCAGAATTCAATATGAAAAGTTTGTAAGGAGAGAGGCTATGATGCAATCCTCGGAATCAGAATAGTATGGTAGAATAAACACATCATCACTCAGGGGTATCCTTATCTTCTTCTGAGCCTATCATTGTCCACCATACACACATTTCCATAGAACTAAGCAGCAACCTAAACTGTGTGTTATAAGATAGACTAAAGACGGTTTCACTAGAGAGAAAAGTTTAAGCAAATCACTTAATGCCTAAATCAAACAGCAAGCGAGACAAAGGAAATTTAAGTTTTTTATACATTCTGGATGACTTTTTTTAAAACTTCATAACTACTTAAAACTACGTGCTAGACACTGTAATGCATACACTAAAAGAAGCCCCATTTTTAAAGATGAGGAAACTAAGGTTTAAGGGACATGAAGTATCTTGCTGATTCTAAAATTCATTTCTGAAAAGAAAAAGGCAAGTTCAAGAATAGCCAAGACATTTTTTAAAAAGAGCAACAATAACAGACTTTCCTTATCAGCTATCAAAATACGCTAGAAAGTTGTACTAAATAAATCATGTGATATTGGCCCAGGAATAGACAAATAACTCAATGGAATAAAAAGGAGTCCAGAAAGAGACATAAATATATATATGTGTGTGTGTGTGTATATATATGTATATATGTATGTACATATATATACACACACACACATATATACACACACATATGGAAATATATATGGAAATCCAGTATATGATAAGGTGGCATTTCAAATCTGTGGAAAAAGGATGAACTGACAAATTCACAGTGTAAGTGCTGTTCTACTGCTTACTGAGACCTTGGTCTTACTTAACTTCTCTGTGCTTCAGTTTCCTCATCTGTAAAAACAAAGATAATATGCTTGAATGAAGCAGCTCACTAACAATATAAATTCAGCACTGCCTGATATGAAGTACATTCTCAGTAACACATAAACCAGAGGGGAGAAGAAGAGGAGGAGGAGTGACGTGTTGGTAGAAGTAGTGGTGTTGCAGGTGAGTGTAAGAGTGAAATCCAATATGTGTCTGATGCCAATCAGAAAGATAAATCCCTGACAAAGAGCTAAATTTAAAATGTTTAAGCATTTTTAAAAGTTAGGAAAAAACAGGCTGGGTGCAGTGGCTCACGCCTGTAATCTCAGCACTTTGGGAGGCCAAGAGGGGGTGGATCACCTGAGGTCAGGAGTTTGAGACCAGCCTGGCCAAGATAGGGAAATCCTGTCTCTTAAAAATTAGCCAGGCATGGTGCCACACACGTGCCTATAGTCCCAGCTACTCAGGAGGCTGAGGCAGGAGAATCCCTTGAACCCAAGAGGCGGAGGATGCAGTGAGCCGAGATCATACCACTGCACTCCAGCCTGGGTGACAGAGCAAGACTCCATCTTAGAAAAAAAAAAAAAGGGAGAGAAAAAAAAAAATATATATATATATATATATATTTAATCTTGGGGTTGGAAAGGGTTAATTAACCAGTAAGACACATAAAAGCAAAAAAAAAAAAAAATGCTGACCAGTCTCATTGTATCAAAACCTAAAATTTTGTACAACAAACAGAAAGTATTTTCAACAAACATAAGGGATAAGGATAAATATCCAGGGTATAGTCGACCCTCGTATCCATGGACTCAACCAACCATGGGCCAAAAATATTTGGGAAATAAAAAATGGATAGTTGTGTCTGTACCAAACAGACAAAGATTTTTTTGTCATTATTCCCTAAATAATACAGTATAACAATTTACATAGCATTTACATTGCATTACGTATTATAAGTAATCTAGATTTAAAGTATACAAGAAGAGATGTGTAGGTTATATGCAAATACTATGCCATTTTATGTAAGGGACTTGAACACCCATGAATTTTACTATTTCAAGGAGTCCTAGAACTAATCCCCTACAGAGAGTGACTATATACCAATATAGTCTTACAAAGAAAAATGTCAACAAAACAATAGTAATATGCAAACATACTCAACTTCACTAGAAACTGAGGACAGGTAAATTAAAATGAGATACCATTTCACCATCAGGTGGAGAAAAATGTAAGACATTGATACTATCACATATTGGCAATGGGGTGGAAAATGGGAAATCTCATCATCTGTTTGGTGGGAGCATAAATTGATATGGTCTTTGGATGAGCAGTCAGGCAGTTTAAATTTTAAATATGACAAAAATTAATGAATAGATTTTACATATGTCTCCCCTCTGCTTGAGCATCTGCTTCTGCTCATAGGTACCAAGCCTAAAGAGATACGCGTACACACAGGGAGCCTGTACAAGGGCATGCTTACTCTCAGCATGGATCTCTTATGTTTAAATACGGGAAATTCGTAACAGGAAATGCTAGGAGTAAATATTTTTTAATAGGTGGTTCTTAACGAATGCCTTCCAATCTTTAACTACACTTCAGAATTGCCTGGAGCTTTTAAGAATTTAGAATTCCAGGGCCCTACCTTCAGAGATTCAGATTTCACTTGTCTAGGTAGAGGAAAGGTGATGGTAATTTTTTTTTTTTTTTTTTTTTTTTGAGACGGAGTCTCGCTCTGTTCCCCAGGCTGGAGTGCAGTGGCCGGATCTCAGCTCACTGCAAGCTCCGCCTCCCGGGTTCACGCCATTCTCCTGCCTCAGCCTCCCGAGTAGCTGGGACTATAGGCGCCCACCACCTCGCCTGGCTAATTTTTTGTATTTTTAGTAGAGACGGGGTTTCACTGTGGTCTCGATCTCCTGACCTTGTGATCCGCCCGCCTTGGCCTCCCAAAGTGCTGGGATTACAGGTGTGAGCCACCACGCCCGGCCAGTGATGGTAATTTTTAAAAGCTCCCAGGTGGTACTAATAGGAAGTCAGGACTGAAAACTAGTGATTTGTCTATACTGCCTTGGAAAGTTCTCCAAGGCAGTAAGTTAAAAACAAAAATAGAACCATAGGGCCATATGAACAGTATACTACTTAATGTGAATAATCCCAGCACTTTGGGAGGCCAAGGCGGGCGGATCACGAGGTCAGGAGATCGAGACCATCCTGGCTAACCCAGTGAAACCCCGTCTCTACTAAAAATACAAAAAATTAGCCGGGCGTGGTGGCGGGCGCCTGTAGTCCCAGCTACTCGGGAGGCTGAGGCAGGAGAATGGCGGGAACCCGGGAGGCGGAGCTTGCAGTGAGCCAAGATCGCGCCACTGCACTCCAGCCTGGGTGGCAAAGCGAGACTCCGTCTCAAAAAAAAAAAAAAAATAAAAAAATAAAAAAAATTAGCCAGGCGTGGTGGCGGGAGCCTGTAGTCCCAGCTACTCGGGAGGCTGAGGCAAGAGAATGGCGGGAACCCGTGAGCCGAGATCACACCACTGCACTCCTGCCTTGGTGACAGAGCTAGACTCCAACTCAAAAAAAAAAAAGAAAAAGAAAAATCATATATACATGCACATAAGAGAATCTTGAATAATACACAAAAGCTAATGACAAATGTTTACCTCTTAGAAGGGGAAGTGGGCAATTGCAGGGATCGGGTGGTTAGTCCAGGTCTAGGGAAATATGGATTCATCTGAATTGCTTAATTTCTTTTGAGAATGCATTCACTGCTTATGTTATGAAAAATAAAGGATGAATTTTTAAAGAATAGCATAAACTATCAAAATGCTACTGACTTACTCAAATATTAAATAAGAAAAGCTAATTAGATCATGGTATGATAAAACTGAGACCTCCTCACTTAATTAGGCAACTGATATATTTACATAAGCTCCATTTCCATGCTTAAATTATTTTTACTGAAATCAACAAAGTGGATCAAATTTCAAACTCTTAAAAATCAAATTTTGCTTAGTTGAAATATATAAAAACTGCTCTTGTAAGTGTTCTCAGAAGCTGAAGAGTCTTGCACATTGCCTTATTAACAATTAACTGCAGTGATCCTCAATGCCCATTCAACCATCATCACTGCCCCGCATCTGGTCTTTCACCCTATACCACAGTTACCACTTTCAGTAGAATTTTAAAAAGAAATAACCCAATGATTTAAGATAAACAGATTTATTTTTATAAATGAGATAAATAAGAGAAAAAAAAACTAGAAAAAAAAAAAGAAAATGGCAAAGGAAGACTAGCTTGTGCGATGCAGCAAGCACCATTCAGTGCTCTGCCTTCCCAAGCAAGGCTATGACAGAAACAGCTCGTGCCTGCCACACTCCCATGTGCTCCTTCCATGTCACTCACAGAGCCCCTGGTTTAGTAGGAGATCACACGGCTTTTTTTAAAAAAGAACACCTTTCCCAGCCTCTACTGTAGACAAGGCAGCCAAGTGACACAGTCCTGGTCACTAACATATAGTTGACCCTTGAGCAACACAGGTTTGAATTGCAAAGGTCCCCTTAAACATGGATTTTTTTCCACTTTTGCCAACCCCTGAGACAGCAAGACCATCTTTCTCTCCCTCCTCCCGCTCAGCCTACTCTACGTGAAGACAAAGAGAATGAAGACTTTGTGATGACCCACTTCCACTTCATAAACAGAAAATATATTTCATTTTCCTTAGGATTTTCTTCACATTTTCTTTTCTCTAGCTTACTTCATTACAGGAATATAGTGAATACACATATAACAAAACATGTGGCTGGGTGTGGTGGCTCATGCCTGTAAATCCCAGCACTTTGGGAGGCCAAGGTGGGCGGATCACTTGAGGTCAGGAGTTCGAGACCAACCTGACCAACATGATGAAATCCTGTCTCTACTAAAAAAGATACAAAAATTAGCCAGGCATGGTGGCAGACACCTGTAATCCCAGTTACTTGGCAGGCTAAGGCAGGAGAATCATTTGAACCCAGGAGGCAGAGGTTGCAGTGAGCTGAGATCACGCCATTGCACTCCAGCCTGGGCGACAGCATGAGACTCCATCTTAAAAAAACACAAACGGAAACAAAATATGTGTACAAAATATGTGTTAAATGACAGTCTATGTTATCAGTAAGGCTCCAGTCAACAGCAAGTTATTAGTAGTTAGGTTTTGGGGGAGTCAAAAGTTATATGCAGAGTATCAACTATGCTGGGGTTGGGTCAGTTCTCTTAACCCTCCACTACTCAAAGGTCAGCTGTACATGCAGAGAGAAAGCCTAATGGGCCACAGACTTGGCTGGCCTGTCCCTCTTACTCCTTTGTGTTTACCTTTGCCTTCCCTTTCCTTCTGTCCAGAACACAAATGTCATGGCCACTGGTCCAAGAGCCACCTTGTGAGCAGGCGGGGAAAGATCATGCCTACGAATACTGGAGCAGAATGGCAGGAGTCTGCAGCCCTCTCCATGCTGTGGTTCTGCAGCACCAGCTCTGCACTGCCTGGATTCTTAGCTTCTGGTATTTGGGCTTCCCATTATATGCAGCCAAAGGAAAACCTTAACTTATACAGATGGATTACTCTAGACCAGCGGATTAATAGACCAGAATAAGGAATACTATAGAGCAGGACTGGCCACCTATGGCCTGCAGCAGGGCAAATCCAGCCAGGAACATTATTTTATGCATTGTCTAAGGTTGCTTTTGTGCAACAACAGCAGAGTTGAGTGGTTACAATAGAGACCATCTGGCCCACCAAGCTGGAAATATTTAGATTATATGGCCTTTTACAGAAAACACTTGCTGAGTCCTACTGTAAAGGGTTATTCATAATTGTAGCAGCCTCAGGAGGTAAGAGCACTCCCTGAAGACCCCCAATACCATTGTTCACTCTCCAATAGCCTAAAAAAAAAAAAGTCCTCACCAACTGGGGTAAAGAATCCCGGTACTTGGTATTTAATTGGTTCACAAAGCGTCGGGTGATCCAGTAACAGTCGACGCTGTCTTCCACCATTTCCTCCATGGCTTTAGCTATAGCAAGAAATACTTCATCTTCTGGCTCCTGAAAGATTAATAATACATCTCAAGAGGAAGGCAGTGAAAGAGAGGAATACATGTTTCTTTAATAAAAAATGAAACCTTGCTCCCTAAATTTTGAAAAGGCTACATTAATAAATCAAAGCGGGATCAAAAAGCACAGAGTCCATCCCTGAAGAGGGGAGCAAGGGGGAGAAAAGGATGAGTAACTACAGGGTCAGTGCTGCTTATGAATGACCAGGTTTCAGGCTGAGTGTACAGAGATGCTCCAGCTTCTAACATTAAGCCCCTCACAGAGTCAACATAAATGATAAGCAAGTCACTGACTCTCTCCACCCAAAAATATCCTCAGTACTAGGTGAGAATGTCTTTGAAAAGGGTGTAGCAAACGGCACCATCAGTAACTGGAGACATTTTTCAGCACAGTAATTTGCAAATACTGAAGAGCTCCAAAAAAGACTAATAAAGCATTTGCTTTATTTCAAAGCATTCACACATACCTTCAGAATTTTGTTCCATCTTAAGCAGTAAAAAAGTTAAAATGTTCCTAGAATCAGAATTTTGGGAATCAAAAAATGGCATTTCTCAAACCTTGTGTCAATACTCAGAATGCGAAAGTAAACTCTCAGGGAAATTTCAACAGAGAGATCTTAGAAAAACTGGGACCTTATTTGAAAACCTCTTCTGTTTTCAAACACCATATCGTATACAAAAAGCTTTACATTTTCATCTAGGATTTAATAGCTGAAGGATTTTAATGTTAAAAAGAAACTAAGAAGTATCACAGTTTCCCCTAAAAAGTGCCAACTTAAATCAAAATTGTCATTTTAATGTATTATTTCATTCTAAGCCCTTCTTTCAACTTGTTAACATTCTATAAAATGTCAAGAAAAACAGAATTTAAATCATAGGGAATAAATTTTCTCTAAGCATTTTATTAATGTGTCAGAGGAGAATGGAAAATAAGTAGGAAGAAAAGGGAAAGGAAAAATCTGCTTTCTTGGACTCCCGTGCAGTTCTGTGCACTGTGCTTGGCACCCACAAAGGTGGCATATCACTGACTGCTCCTGACCACTGACAGGTCAAGAGAAGAGGACCCAGGTCATCCTTCCTGGCCCTGTGCCGAGCACTGCTGCACCCTCTTATTAATGAATTAAAAAATGAGGCAGAGTGGGCGCTAAGTAGGTGCTATGGTTCAAACATCTGTCCGCTCCAAAATTTACGTTGAAATTTAATCCCCATTGTGGCAGTATTGAGAAGTGGGGCCTTTAAGAGGTGACTGGATCATGAGGGCTCCGCCCTCATCAGTGGGTCAATTCATAGATTAACGGGTTATCACAGGAATGGGACTGGTGGCTTCCTAAGAAGAAGAGAGTCCTGGGTGAGCATGTTGGCACGTTCAGCCCCCTCGCCATGCGATAACCTGTGCCACCTCAGGACCCTGCAGAGAGTCCTCATCAGCAAGAAGGCCCTCACCAGATGTAGCCCCTGAATCCTGGACTTCCCAGCTTCTAGAATTGTAAGAAATAAATTTCTTTTTAAAATAAATTATCCAATTTCAGGTATTCTGTTATAAGCAACCAAAAACAGACTAACACAATGAGGACCATGACTGGGGAGACGTGGGGTGGCAGAGTCCAAAACACTCACTCAGAAGCGTGTCTGCCTGAGGCTGCAGTAAAGGTGTCTCAGCTTGGAACACAGACAAGCTGAGTAGCGGTGAGGGGGAACCTATACCCTGTCATCTCAGTTCCTTGAACTAACAGATGATCTAATTTAATTTGATATGTAATTTAAGAACTTGTGTAGTACTATCAACTTCCCTTTGCCAATAAGTGACATTTAAAGATGATTGCTTAAATTATTCCAATTATTTTTTAGGGACCTTCTCTCTCTTGATAAACATAATAAATACAAATGATCTTTATTAGCTCTAAGGTTTGTCCATGGATACCCCATCATTAACTTCAAAAAATATAAGCTATGCAATAAAAATAAATTTTGTAAAATAGGAGTGTTCCAGCAAATCCATTTGAACAATTCACTGTTTTAGCCAAACAAATAACACTTCAATTTCATACTGATAGAAATAAAGAAGGAGAAGGGAAAACTCTTCCTTAGAGAAGAATGCCAACTAATACATGCAAAAAGAATGAGGGAGTTAGATCACCATTTGGCAACCAGCATGGTAAAAACTGGCTCAGGCAAGAATAAGAACCATTAGTGGATGGCTATTTACAAGTCTCAAAGTACTTCCCCACAGTTACTTATTAATTACAAAGAGGAAAATAGTAACCTTATAGTGGAGAAACTCCACAGACACCATCTTACCCAAGTGATCACAGTTAGCAGCAACAGTAATGAGTCTCATACTTCTGTAGTATTCCTGCCAATAATGCGTGACCAGAGTTTAATCATGGAGAAACATGAGACAAACCCAAACTGAGAAATGCTCTACTGGCCAGGACTCTTCAAAAGTGTCAAGTCATGAAAGACAAAGACCGAAGAACTGTTCCAGGCCGGGCACAGTGGCTCACGCCTGCAATCCCAGTACTTTGGGAGGCCAAGGCGGGTGACTCACCTGAGGTCGGGAGTTCAAAACTCCGTCTCAAAAAAAAAAAAAAATTTTCCAGATTAAAGACTAAGACGTGGCAGCTAAATGTAATGTGTGATCTGGAACTGGATCTTGGATCAGAAGAAGAGCATCAGTGGGACATCAGCAAAATCCCAATGAGGCCTACAGAGTAGCTCCCAGTATTGTGACTCTCTGGTTTTGATCATTACATTATGGTTGTATGAGATGTAACATTTGAGGACACTGGGAGAAGGTATTTGAGAACACTTTACTATTTTTGCAACTTTTTTCTACATCCAACATTATTTTAAAAGTTAAAAAATAAAACTTTTTTAGAAATAGTCAAGTGAGAATACTCATGAGCAAAAGTTCAATAAGGAATAGGATACTTACATAGCGGTTTTCAAGTGTCTCCCCACAAAGAGAAACAGTAATTAAAAAGGGAAAAATAAACAATTTCCAGTGGAAAACTCCAGCAGGCACCACCCTCGCCAAGTGATCCAAGTTAACACTACCTCTTATGGGGCAAATCCACACTATGTGTCTCCTGATAAGAGTCACAGAAAAGGAGATAGCATCACCCACCTGGTATCCCCACCAAAAATGAATAGCCTGAATCTAATCAGGAGGGAGCACCAGACAAACCTAAATTGAGGGGCTTTCTTCAAAGCATCTGATTATGTCCTTGAAAAATGTCCAAGCCATGAAAGATTAAAACAAGACAGAACTGTCCCAAGTCAAAGAAGACTAAAGCAACATGATTACCCAGTGCAAAGCCTAAACCAGGATCCAATCCTCACCCAGAACTTTGACTGTTTGCTTATTTGTGAAGGCATTATTGGTCAAATTCAAATGGAGTTGGTAGATGAGATGTTACTATTGTATCAATGTTAACGTCTTAGTTTTGAGGACTATACTATGGCTATCTACAGGGGTGTCCTGTCTTTAGGAAGTGTACACTGAAGGAATTTGAGGTAGTAGGGAACCCTGTCTGCATCTTATTCTCAAATGATTTAGGAAAAAAAAAAAAAGTGTTTAAAAAATACGTCTTAAAATGACAAAGCAAAACAGATGCACATAATGTTAACAACTGGAGAATCTGAGTAAAGGGTATATGCAAATTCTTGGTAGTATTCTTTCAACTTTTCTAGAAGTTTGAAATTACTTAAAAATAAAACGTATTTTAAAAAAACAAAAAAAAGGAAGGTTGGGTCAGAATGTGCATGGCCATGAATGCCAAGTAAAGATGTGTCACTTTTATACTAATAACAATAGGGAGCCACCGAAAGGTTTTAAGGCAAAGCATGATGTAATCAAAGGCTGGCAAGATGGAACAGTCTAGAGTTGAGTTTAGTGTCCAACAAAAGCGACCACTAACCAGTGGAAAAGAGGGACTTCGAGGTAACTTCCCAGACTCCAGCTGATACATGCGGAGACAGACTTCAGCCTGAGGTGTGGCATCACTAACAAAGCGAACGACTTTCAGGGCATGAAGGACATCCGAGTACTGCTCCTTACGATACATCATCACCTTGGCATGGGACTCATGGTGTGGAGGCAGGATTCCTGGAGAGAATAGGAAAAATGAAAAAAACGAAAAAAGGACAAAATACTGAGCCATCACTCCAAATCCCTCATCTATGAAAAAGGATGCTGTGAGAAGCGACCCAACACGGTTAGGCTAGAATTCACACAGATATTTAAGTACCATATAGAATCTCTTTTAGAAATTCTCACTATAAAACAATCTTAAATGTGCAATATTATCAATGTTTGAATGCTGAGGCATCATTGATATAAGAACACTGGCAAAGCCCTTGAATAAGTGTGCCGCATACATTCAAGATTAACAACCACATCAATCATAACAATGGTTTAATTTAATTTATGGCAGCCTCAGGCTGCCTTTAGCTCCCAGAGGGTCTCACCCTAGTCTTTGTACTTGACCCCTACATCTCAGAACCACCAACAGCCCATTGAATTCTTCTCTTCCCCAACAGTTAAAACTTGCTCACTAAGTATCCTATCCTCCAGGTCACAAAAGACCTTAACCTTCATTGGTGAGGTCACCTTACATGACATTTCTATGACACATTAAGCTCATTAACCCATTTAAACATGGTGTCATATCTTTTTTACAAACAAATGGCTCTGAGAAAACACAGTGGAAAGACCACTAGACAGGCCAGCCATCCGGGTTCTAGACTCAGACTGGATAATACTAGGACTCTCAAATGTGTTTGTCTTTCTGGGCATTTGTTTCCCCATCTGTCAGAGGCAGGAAACGGGATAAGCATTCACCAAATGCTTCTCCACAGAATGCTAACCCCAAGAGAAAACAAAACGCCAGCGTCAAACAGATTTGGGAAATGGTGACAATGAATTTTCATGGCTCTAAGTTTTGCCATAAAGAAAAACATTTTAGGCCAGGTATGGTGGCTCATGCCTATAATCCCAGCAGTTTGAGAGGCCAAGGCAGGCAGATCACTTGAGCCCAGGAGTTTGAGACCAGCCTGGGCAACTGAGTGAAGGTATCTGAGAAACCCTGTCTCTACAGAAAAATTAGCCAGGTCCGGTGGCACATGCCTGTAGTCCCAGCTACTCAGGAGGCTGACGTGGGAGGATCACCTGAGCCTGGGAAGTCAAGGCCATAGTGAGCTGTGATCGTACCACTGCACTCCAGCCTGGGAAACAGAGTAAGACCCTGTCTCAAAGAAAACAAAACAAAACAAAAAAACATTTTATTTACTCGAGCCTCATTAAACTTAATGAGGCTCCACAGAAGCACAGACTCTGGATCAAAGTTGCTGGGTTTAAATTCCAGCTCTACAATTAACTGGCTGGGTGGTGAGCTCTAGCAATTGCTTTATCTCCCTATGTCTTAGCTTCCCCATCTGAGAAACGGGAATAACAATACCTAATATCATACAGTTGTTGAGATGAATAAACAGATCAATATACACAAAGCATTCAAGAGAGTACTCGGCAAACACTAAGCTAGTGTAAGTGTGAGCTAGTACATTTGACTATGAATCCCTCTTTGGTGCAAAATGCCACAGGTTTAGTATTCTAAAGAATACCCCAGAAAACAAAAACAATAGTAGCTAATATGATACCATGTTAATGTTAGAAAAAAGACTTGCTTAAATGTTCTTTTCCCTGAAATAAATCTGTAACTCATCATTGCTATGAGACTGTGAGCCAGGCTTCCAGAAAAGCCAAGGGAACATGCTAAAGAGTCTCCTACATCTCGATTAATACAGATTAAACAGCTGTGACCAAACCCTCATCACACTTGTAGAGGCAGCACGTTAACCCTTAAACCTGTATTCTAAGAGCTGGTCCTAAAAACCCTCTTTCTGATATTTAACTAAAATAGTATCAGGAAGTAGGCATTTGAAGTAAAGATCCCTAAATAATCAAAACTCTGGGCTAGAAAGAGTCAGGCTGTGTCCTACACAGCGCGGCAGGCTCTAAACTTCCAGTGCCTTTTCCTCAAAAAATAACTATGACATGATAAAGGAAGGTGGGCTGGGTGCGGTGGCTCATGCCTGTAATCCCAGCACTTTGGGAGGCCAAGGCGGATGGACTGCCTGAGCTCAGGAGTTCGTGACCAGCCTGGGCAACATGGTGAAACCCCATCTCTACCAAAATACAAAAAATTAGCCGGGCATGGTAGTGCGCACCTGTAGTCCCAGCTACTTGGGAGACTGAGGCAGGAGAATCACAATCTATCTTACCTTCAAATGAGTTTCACAAACGTAAGCTCAAATCCTAGCTCTGCCATTTACAGGCTATAATGCCTTAGGCAAGTTATTTAGCCTCAGAGAGTCTTTTTCCCCACCTGCAAAATTAGGATACCAATACCTCACAGGGGATTCTAGGATTACTCTGTACAATCTGTGTAAATGACTCAGCCTACTGATAGGCACACAGGGATGCCCAATAAGGAGCAATCATAGTTTATATTCTTCAAGGAATTTAGTCCTCACCACTATGTTACAGTTAACAAACTGTAAGTTTTGTTTTTTGTTTTTTGTTTTGTTTTGTTTTGTTTGGAGACGGAGTCTCGCTCTGTTCCCAGGCTGGAGTGCAGCGGTGCCATCTTGTCTCACTGCAACCTTCACCTCCTGGCTTCAAGAGATTCTCCTGCCTCAGCCACCCAAGTAGCTGGTACTACAGGCGCATGCCACCACACCCAGCTCATTTTTTGTATTTTTAGTAGAAAGGGGATTTCACCATGTTGGTCAGGACGGTCTCAATCTCCTGACCTCGTGATCTGCCCTCCTTGGCCTCCCAGAGTGCTGGGATTACAGGTGTGAGCCACTGCACCCAGCCAAAAATACTTTTTTTTAATGAAAGAAAAGGAGGATGGTAATGGATAGGAATTATATGCTCCAGCAAGTTCAGCAATGGTAGGGGAAAGAAAATCTTGGGCTCAGAAGGGATGCTGCCAGTTACTCATGGCACTTAATTCATGTTTTCCTCCATAGAAACTAAGTAAGATCAGTTTTCCTTCTCATTCAGCCACTCACACCACTGGAATTTAGTCATTCACACTTCTAGGGAGTATTAAGTCTCCAATTCCTCTTTGACTCATTAGGAAGTTATACCTCTATAGCTGAGAATCACAAAACATTACAAATTTAGAGCTAAAAACTAGGAGTAATTTAGCTCAAAAGTCTCAGTTTATAGATGCAAAAAATGAGTCCCAGAGGGGTTGCCTTCCTCCAGGTTACCCAGCTGATAGCAAAGCCTAAACCAATTATCATTTCTCCTAGTCCAGTGCTCTTCCCAGATCTTGTCTCAGGAACATACACTATTTTCTCTTCTATAGTATCATTAATAGAACAGAAAATAATGAGCGGTAATTGAACCTCCTGGGGAAGATCCAACATTCAATAAAAGGCCTAAACAAATTTTCCTTTTTCTGACTGATAAGATAGCAAATGATCCCATTATTCAATATTTTTGAAGATAAATCTTCCAACTCCTGGGTCTCATACCGAGAAGCACCTTCCATACCAATGCACGGTACATGGACGGGAGAGGGAACCTCTGACTAAAAGTACAAAGTTTCTCTGTATCTAGAGGAAGAAGAAAACAATTGTTAGAAGCTTTTCATGCTGATCACAGTATGTCAAAGCACATTTCATTTTTTAAAACTGAAAGAATAGTTAAGACATTTCTTCAGGGGATGTCTACCATATGGTCAGTAAGTTTAGAAGAAGTAATACTAGTCTGATTTCTAGCCCAAGACTTCTGCCAACTAAGTTATTTAAAAACAATTTGCGGCCAGGCGCAGTGGCTCACACCTGTAATCTCAGCACTTTGGGAGGCTGAGGCGGGCAAATCACTAGAGGTCAGGAGTTTGGGACCAGCCTGGCCACCATGGCGAAACACCATCTCTACTAAAAATACGAAAATCGGCCAGGTATGGTGGCACACACCTGTAGTCCCAGCTAGTCAGGAGGCTGAGACAGAAGAATCACCTGAACCCAGGAGGCAGAAGTTGTAGTGAGCCAAGATCATGCCACTGCACTCCAGCCTGGGCAACAGAGTGAGACGCTGTCTTAAAAAATAATAATAAAAATAAAAACAATTTGCATTTTACAGCATTGGAGATGCATTTTGCATATATTACTACATTCCCTATAACAGTGGTAGTTATTAATTACAGGGTTATTTCATTTAATTCACATTGCAAGCCTGTTAGGTAGTTCTTGTTCTAAAAATGCAGAAACTGAAGTTCAAAGCAGTTAAATGATTTGATCAAACTAACACAGCTAGTAAGTGGTGCAGTCCACCTTCAAAACCCTACATTTTCCAGTAAATTACAGTTAGTTCCCTGACCCTCAATTCTTCTACTTATCAAAGGAGAATACCAGACATACTAAAGCAAAGACTGTACAGTTGAAGATCAAAGATAAGGTGAGAAGTGTTTCAGAAACTTTAAAAGTACTCTATGCAAATAAAGTATTATCTTTAAATATGGTTCAGTTTATTTTACTTTAGTCAACAACAGACCTTATTCAGATTGGCTTAAAATAAACTAAAATGTCAATATACAATGCACTCTTAGTATTTCCATAGAAGAAAATCATGGGCTGAGCGTGGTAACTAATGCCTGTAATCCCAGCACTTTGGGAGGTCGAGGTGGGTGGATCACTTGAGGTCAGGAGTTTGAGACCAGCCTGGCCAACATGGTGACTGTCTCTACTAAAAACACAAAAAATAGCTAGGAATGGTGGCGCATGCCTGTAGTCCCAGCTACTTAGGAGGCTGACGCAGGAGAATCGCTTGAACCCAGGAAGTGTAGGTTGCAGTGAGCCCAGATCGCACCACTGCACTACAGCCTGGGCAACAGAGTCAGACTCGGTCTCAAAAAAAAGAAGAAAAAAATCATGACCAGAGTTATTGCAAATTTACCTAGATAATACATATAGGTTCAATTAAAGAAAAAATATTAACGACTTTCTTAAGAAACCTTTCAAAAACTTCTGACCCTCAGTGAAATATAAATTTGAAAAATCTATAACTTTTCTCAAAATACACCATTCTGCTTCAACACATCACTAAAAAATACAACAAGCAACCAATGCTTCTGGATGTCTTTTAAGAAAATACTTACTTCAGAACATGTGGAATGACTGAGAACCAATGAGATTAATTTTAAAAAGCACTCACCCAGACGGTCATCTTTTAGGAGAATTTCTAATGATTTCTTTTCTTCAACTCCACGAAACCCCACTTTCTCATAATATACTGAACGAAAGTTTCTCTGAGAGTCGTCAGTCATATTTCATTCTTGGAGGAGACACAGAAAGAGAGAGAGAGGAAGGAGAAAAGTGAATGTAGAAACAATGAGTCAAGAATTAGAATAATTTTCAATGATGTTCTCCACCTTTTCAATAAATCTGATGTACCCTTGCATAGGACCCAATATTAAAGATTTCCTTTTACTCAGTTCTACAACCATCCACCTATGCATCTTGGCCAAAAACCAAGATATACGTTAAAAGTTCTCTGAGCTGCTAAAATACATGGCACAAGGTTTATGCACTAGGTTTCCCACTATACCTATGAATGCCTAGCACAATAGAACATTCTGTAGTTATTATAAATGTGCAAAGAAAAAAAAATAAGTGAAATGGAAGCCAGGCAAGATATGTCAAAAAAAACTATACTCCAACAGTATACACTATGATTTCATTGTTTTTTTACAAATTTCATGTATTTTAAAAATTAACACTCTATTCCAAAATGTTAGCAATGGTTATCTTTAGGTAGTAGGATTCCAGATGATTTTAATTTCCTTTCTTTAGCTTAGTTGTTTTTTTAAATGGGCATTTTGCAAAATGAAAAATTAAGTTATATAAAAGTAAAAAGCCACGAGTTCCTCACTTTTCTTTTAAACACAATTCTATTAAGTGTAACTATCAAAATTCAAAACTTACAACAGATAAATTGCATTAAATTATAAGGAGAAGAGAGTAAAGAATGTAGCCGATTGACAGTGATCCTAAAGTCAGAGTTGAAGCCAGAAAAACGATTTAAAATCTATCGCAAGAACTCAAAAAGTTCAGTGGTCTCAGGTTCCTTCATAGTAACCTTCATAATACTGGAGGTAACTCATCCAAAAAAAGACCAAGTTAGATTTGGCGTTTCAAGAACAGAAAAGATGTGATGCATTTCCCAAAAAAGCACGGCACTGCCTCACGCAAATGCTTCCAGGCTCTGTGCACAAGAGTAAATCTTCAGGTTTAAACATCCTGAGACGTCCCCAGTGAGCAGGGGAGGGCTTCCTTCCTTATTGAAAAGATATCCTCTGAACTGATCCAGTCACAGGAAAGATTAGGATTCGTTTAGTAAATGAAATGCTAAATGGCTCTGAGCTTTCGGGAGCAGATGTCTTAAAAATAAAAAAAGTCAGCAGCATAAAACGCGTAATGAGTGTGGGGATTTATTTTTTTTTTAAGGCATCCAAACAGTTGCATGACGATTCGGTCGGTCCCTGTTGTCTAAGGACACCCATTCTTAGATTGCACTACAATGACAAAGGCATCCTCTAGGAGGAAACATTGCAAATAAAATCTCCTGCCCATGCGCGTCCACCTGATGGGAAAAGTAAAAACACCGTGGTCCAAGACCCCAGGTCCCATTCTCTCTCTGATGGATGCTTCACCTCTATAAGTGGAAACACGCCCGGGTTGAGACTAAGTGGTCCGGAGAAGCAGAGGAAGCCGTGCCCTGTGCGCTGACTGACCGCCGGGCAGGCGGGCACCGTTGGAGCCCAGGGCCAGGAGGGGCGAGTCCTGCGGGAAGGAGGGAGATGGCGGGACACCTGGGACACCCGTGCGCGCCCCGACGGCCCGGGAGACAAAACTCAGCACCGCCGCCGCCGCCGCCGCCGGATGTGACATCAACTCCAGGTCGAGGGGCGGGCACTGGGCCGGCGCATGCGCAGAGGGCGCGCGCAGGAAGCTCCACCCTCACTCCGGGAAGCTCGGGGTTTCGTTGGTGAAACCCGACGGGATAAAGGGCTAGACTCGCCTCCAGGCTTGTGTAGTTTCTCCCACCCTAGGCACCCGGGCCCTTGCTACCCTGCAAAATCTCGCGACCATTTACTCCGGCCGTCCGAAGGCGCGTGCCTGGGTTGCACTGCCGTCTCCGGCCCTCGAGTTTCCTACCTAGGGGAGACCCGAGCCCTAGGGCCATACTTAAGCTGCCTGCGTGCAGGACCCGAGTTTTGCTTTTGCTAATTTCCTCCCCGCCCCGGGTGTGTGGGAATAAATGGAAGACCATCTGAACGAGAAGAGCAAAGGCGTCAGCCACTGTCCCTTGCCTTTGGGGAGGGACGCAAAGGCAGACAGAGGAGTGGGGACGCTTTAGGGTGGACAAAAGGGAAGGCTTTAGGTGTGCGCAGACCGGAGTCTGGAGGCAGCTCCCTAGAAGTGAAATATCCCAGGGATTGGTTAGGGGGCATAGTTGCCTTTCTCTGGTCGGTCCTAACTTGGAAGCAAGGACAAAAATTAAGAAAGCGATCAGTTATTAAGTCCTGGCCACTGGAGCCCAGTTGTTACAGAAGTTATTGTTCAGCTTCCTAGACTGTTGCTAGAGACGGCAATCTGGCTTCCTGCAAGTCTGATTTAGAGCAGGCAGGCTCCCTGGGTTGCTTATTGTAGATAACGGACTGGTTTTCCGGGCAGGTTGCTGCAGGTTGTGGATTAGAGGTCTGTTTTTATATTAGGTTTGGCCATTGTCTTAGTATATTCAGCCTCTCAGGTAAAATACTATAAAATGGGAGAAAAATGAAAGTTAAAAAAATATATATGTGCTAAATACAAGCTCCGATTTGTTATTAGTAGGTCTAACAGAACAAAGTTACTCTTTAAAGTAGCTACTAACGCTTACAAATGCTTGCTTTCTATTTCTGTGCTTGCCTCACTGGTCCACCGGCTGAGCAGCAGTGCCCAAGTAGGTTTTTAAACCGCCAGGGTTTGAGAGAAATCCCCAGTGATGGGTATCGTCCCTTTGAAAGTCCAAATCTCTACCAAATAAACCACACAGATGCCAAGCTTTAGAGGAAACTTAGGACTATCAACAGTGCAGAAGTCCGGTTATAGTGCAGACAAATGTGTGGTATAATGGCTAGACAGAACTTAAAAAAAGAAACGTGTGGTGGTTGAACTCAAACACTGATGCCTCTCCCCACCCCCTTACCACCACCATCTTTAGTTCCTCAGTACTGGGGTACTAAACCTTACTTGGGTAGTGTTCACATGAGTAAGCAGAGTTCTTCAAGTTACCTTACACAGGTTCCGTTTACTTGATCTAAACCTTGGGCCGGTCACTAACTTTTACAATTTCATTTTCTTGTCTTTAAATCATCACCAAGACTGGGCGCGGTGGCTCACGCCTGTAATCCCAGCACTTTGGGAGGCTGAGGCAGGCGGATCGCCTGAAGTCAGGAGCTCGAGACCAGCCTGGCCAACATGGTGAAACCCCATCTCTACTAAAAATACAAAATTAGCCGGGCGTGATGGTGCACACCTGTAATCCCAGCTACTCCGGAGGCTGAGTCAGGAGGATCACTTGAACCCAGGAGGCGGAGGTTGCAGTGAGCCGAGATGGCACCAGCCTGGGCAACAACAGTAAAATTCCGTCTCAAAAAATAATAATAGAATAAAATCATCACCAATAGTGGTGATTATATAGAAGGTGGGAAGGGTTAAATGAGAAAGTATGTAATGTACTTGGCATGGTGCCTGGCATGTGGCACAGTAGGGATATATGTGAATTGGCTGTGTCAAGATCAATTAAAAATACAAAGATGAGTCTCTAAATCATTTTATTTGGGAAAACAGAATTGCAGTTCAGGGCATACACACAGACTTGGGTGGTCTTCAGAAGAACAAAGAGATGGTTGGAGGTTTCATTAGAGAAATGTTATGTATTGCCTTGAAAGATAGCTCATTGACCCTAAGCAAAGTTTTTAGGAGCAGGCAAGCTCTAATTTGTGAGAGAAGGTGGTAAGTAAAACTAGTCTTAGAGTTTCAGCAGCTACTAGGTAAAACTGGTCTTCAGGTTATATAGCAGGTCACCTTGGCAGCTGGCTTTCAATATAATTCCTGGGCAGGTACTTTGTGCCCCAAATACTTTCTCTTCTCCCTCATTTCTGGACTCTAATTTATCTGGGTATGACAAGATAACTCCAATTCATATAATCAGTTTTCAAGGCTGCTATTCACTGAATGGTGACAGCAATATTGGTGCCTTCAACTGCCCTTCATTCTGTTTTTTGATGAGCTGCTAACAGAATATGTGGAAGCTTCCCTAAGAGATAACACCCTGAGACTTTGGTCAACTCTGCAGCCAGAATGAATCTAAAAATATCCCTCCTCTGCACAAAATCCTTCAGTGGCTCCCCATTTCTCTCACAGGAAAAACTGAAGTACTCACAACAGCCTAACAACACTTCTCATGGTCTACCTTCTCTTACCTCAATCTCAGCTACTATGAGTGACTGCCTTACCTTAGGACCTTCTCACATTCCCTGTGCCTGCAACACGTTACCCTCTGCTTGCCGCATGGGCCACTCACTTACCTCAGTTGTGATCAAATGTCCCCTCCCAGAGGCTACTCTCCCCACCCCACCTAAAATTGCAACACTTTACTCGAATCCCAATCCCCTGTATGCAGTTCTACCTTTTCCTTTTTCCACAGCACTGATCCTTTTTTTTTTTTTTTTTTTTTTTTTGAGACAGTTTTGCTCTTGTTGCCCAAGCTGGAGTGCAAAATGTTGCGACCTCAGCTCACTGCAGCCTTTGCCTCCTGGGTTCAAGCGATTCTCCTGTCTCAGCCTCTGGAGTAGCTGGGATTACAGGCACCCACCACCACACCCAGCTAATTTTTCGTATTTTTAGTAGAGATGGAGTTTCACCATGTTAGCCAGGCTGGTCTCAAACTCCTGACCTCAGGTGATCCACCCGCCTCAGCCTCCCAAAGTGCCGGCATTACAGGCGTGAGCCACAGTGCCCGGCTAGCATTGATCACTTTTTAACACACTACATCATTGACTTATTTATTTTAGGGTTTCTTCTGTTGTTTTTGTTTTTTTGTTTTTGCACGGAGTCTTGCTCTATCGCCCAGCCTGGAGTGCAGTGGCACGATCTCGGCTCATGCAAACTCCACCTCCCAGGTTCACGCCATTCTCCTGCCTCAGCCTCCCGAGTAGCTGGGACTACAGGCGCCCACCACCGCGCCCAGATAATTTTTTGTATTTTTAGTAGAGATGGGGTTGCACCGTGTTAGCCAGGATGGTCTCGATCTCCTGACCTCGTGATCCGCCAGCCTCAGCCTCCCAAAGTGTTGGGATTACAGGCGTGAGCCACCGCACTTGGCTTATTTTAGTTTTTATTGGATATGTCCTCCCACCAGAATGTCAGTTTCACAGGTTAGGGATCTTTGCTTTGGTAGTGGATATATCCTGAGTCCATGGAACAGCACCTGGCACACAGTAAGTGCTTAATATAGACTTCTAAACAAAAGAAATGGGTTACCACGTGGCCATTTGTTCTTACAGTTGCATATTTGAGTTGTGAACTGTTAGCATTATTAGTCACTGGACTCTTAGCATGACACAAATTATAGAATAGAGTTGGCAGGCAATAAAATTTTTGTGGGATTTAATTGAAATAAGAATTGTAAAAGTCACAGGTGTACTTCACTGTAGCAGCCATCGCTCCTTTCTGACTTGTAATATTTCTGCCCTCTAGTGGTTAGCCTTTTTTGCTAAATTATTATTATTTTTTAATTACACTGTACTGTTAGTTACAGAATCAAATCTCAAGGTTAGAAGGGACTTAAAGGTCAGCCAGTCTCATTAAATGTGGCGCAGAGAGCTAAGCTTCAGGGCATAAAAACAGCCACATAGCTTTAGAAGTGGCGTCCTATCTTTCAGCTTCTAAATTTACTTTGGCAGAATAGTAATTGTCACATACCACTGGCCTCGATCCTTGCGCCTCGTTTTCTAGAGATAAGGAAATGGAGATGGAGTGAGGTTACGGCTGTAGGGCAACTATCTTCACGTTAAGGAGCCATTAAAGTGAACGTAGTAAAAATCCCATCACAGCATAATTGGTGAACATGAGAACTGTAAGAACATTCAGATAGTTCATAGGTTAAACCACATCTCCAAAACAGCTGAAGAGAGACAAATCTGGATGGTCCTGGACACTCATTTCCTCCTCCATTTTGGTAATTTGGCAGAAAACTGGCTCAGCAGGTCCATGTTAGTCAAATAGGCAGAACCACCTCATTGCTATAGATATTTACAGTATTAAGGGCATGGAGATCAGTCTTTATTGGAATGTTGGTCACAGTGCGTGTAAACCTCTATGCCTGGCCTCAGCTGAGGGATAATTCGATTCCAGGGATGGCATGCACTCTACTACTTTCTGCTTGTATGCTTTTCCTCTAATAAACCCAAACTTATACCTGTATCACTTAACACAGTGGTGTGTTTTCATGGCCCTTTCTGAGCATGCATAACTGTACCCCAGAAATGTCCTGTTACAGAGAGGAAACATTGGTTCACCTGTCAAAACGGGTGGCATACGTCTTATGTAGATGTGATTATAGACTTCCAATACTGTCCTGGTATATGGAAACCTCTGGTTACAGCCATAGGTTTCCTAGTGCGTATGGGGTCATTTAACAAATAATGATTCCATTAACCACTGATAATTGTCTGACCTCGGCCCTGTCTTCTTTGCATGAATCTTTGATAGTTCTAGTGTCAAAACAACAGGTACAGTCAGCAGGGTATAAAAGCAAACGCTATTTGCAGCGAAACTAGAAAACAATATATCGAGTAGGTGAAGAAGTTTCCAAAAGCAGTGGAAACCAAGCAGGGT